AACCCGACTCTAACCCGACTCTGACCCGATTTGGACCCTCGATGGAAACGTAGTCTATATTTCTAAATCTGCAATTTAATAAAACAATGGAATAATAAGAGTAGTTATACAAAACGTAGGAAATGAACAAGGAAAATAATAGGAAAGGTTTAGACATGTAGTATTCCAATTACAGAATTTGTAGGGAAAAATGAAGAATTGGTGCATGTGGAATTAAATCGCTTTGCTCGGCATGGCGCGAAAAATAAATTACGAATACAACTTTGAACAAATATTTGATCGTGTATTTTGTCTTGTGACATTAAAGTTAGCAGCCAACAATTGGTTTAAAAATCGACAAATTTCTGATTCCTTGCAAGATTTCTTCTTCGACTTCACACGCTCCATCGGATAATCCTGAATCCCTCTTTAAAGTTTTCCCTAGTCCAATCGGGAGTTGCATCACACCCCACCCATGGATGATTTTCTTTGATTCTAGTTCTATTTCCAAACCTTAAACAGGTAGAAGTCTTACTATAAATATTGGTACACATTGTTGGATACTTCTTCACACCATGGTAATTTAGTTAATAAAGCTAGTTTCAATCGATAGCGTAATTCGTAGAATAGAGTATATATCTGACTTCATAATATATCTTTGCAAAAATGATTTTGATAGCTTTTTGTACTTCATTTCTACGCTCTTTATAATCTTTGACAACGCGCATGCATTCTTATGATGACGTACGTCGAATGAATATATCTAGTGAGCAAAATGTTTTCTGATTTTTGTTTCATATTGAGCATAATATGTCCTACAATAAGTAAGACGCTTTATTTCTGATGCTAATATATTTTAGAAATATATTGATAAAATACAATATAACATTTCTTTTATTCTATACATTTACTATATCCTTGTTGATTTTTGCTGTTCTTTCATTTATCTTCACCTTGTATATGACCACGAAAGCAAAAATAGATGTAGAGGGTATCATATTTGTAATTCGGAATCTTCCTAACTGTCAAGCTGCGCGAATTATTTTTTTCTAGAATGAAGTTTATATTTTTAAAATTTGTTTTACATTTGTGAAAATACTTTGTATAAAGACAGAAGATGGAATATTTGAAAAATAATATAAATAATGTAGTTATTCAAGTAATATTTAAAGCAGTTATAAAAATTTAATATCTTGATATTGTCCATGGGTTTCATATTATGATAATGGTAATCTTCTCCTCTCCGATTTACAAAATTTGTAATTTTAATAGGTGTATTAACATTTCCAAAATGTTCCAAAGTTTTTATTCAACATAATTGTAAAATTGATATAGGTAAGTTAATCATGCATTTGCAAATTCGTATGTATAGAAAATGTATGTATGTATTTATTATTGTTTATTAACCATTATTGAAGAGTAACTGAAAACTTCAATTAATGTTATAAATTACAGTAATAACAATATATATTTTTATTTGCAGGTATGCTTCTTTTCTTTATTAGTTATAGCAAAACATTAAATTTAATATCAAGGAAATAAACATAGGCGTAGGATATAGCTAGACGGCCATGATTTCCGACATGCTAACGTATTACGGGTAGGGACAGCAGGAAAATGGCCGGTAGCGTGTGTTCGTCGGTGTTGTCGAAGGTGGCGTAAATTTTGATCGACGAGTTTCGTTCAAGATACACGAATGTATGGTTAAATTTGCTTCTACAGTAAAGTGAATTTTTATTCGGTATGTATGAACACAGGTCTTGTTTAAGTCTAATGAGAATCTCGTAATGTTATAGAATCTTGTTCAACTGGAAACTAAAATGAGTTGTCAGATTTTTTGTTGGGTACAAATATTTTAATGGGTGTTATTCCAGCAGCATCAATCTTTATAAAATATTTATGTAAAGAATTTATTTTGTTAATATTATTGGGTGAATATTTCGTGAATTCTCAGTTGTACATAGGTAAGATTTGTGTACATTGTGTAACAGGAGAATATTACGTGTGAACTTCTTATAAATATGTTTATATGATTTTGGAATGTTGATACACAGAAAGGTGAGTAAATTAATTATGCATTGATAATAATTAATATGAATTAAAGAGTAAATATTAGGATATAAATTCATAGTTTAGTGGTTCGTAATTATATGTTATGGAATATTAATAAGTTTCTGTTATAATACTAGCAAAATATTAATTTACAATTGTGTTAAACTAAAAGATATACTTCTTGTTATATTCATAAATTATATTAAACTATTAACATATTTGTACCTAATATTACAATTAGTCTTAACGTATGATTAGTTGTTGACATTTAAAACTAAAGCAGTTACTAGTATAATAGTGTCTTTCTAGTAGGTCATATTTGAGGCTATAGAAATTGACAAAATTATGATTTTACTGTAGCTGATAATTTCAACTTCTTAATCAGATAAGGTTGTCATTAATAATACTTTATCGTATATTATTTTTTATTGAATAGTTTGTCTTATTGTTTATTTAGTACTATATTAACTATATAATACAATCAGCAAAATCATGATTATAATATATATATAATGAACACTGACTATTTATATATAATATTGCTTGAAGTGAATTAATAATGAAATATATATCATTGTTTTTGTACATTGCAGGTGGTGACTTTTATGCATCCGAAATAAACCAAACCAATATGGCAAGTCCTTCGCCACAATCATCTCCTATGCCTCCACCACAAGCACCAAGCCCTATGGGTCCTCCTCAGCAAGCACCGTCACCCTCTAATCCTCAAGGTAGTCCAATGGGCCCACCACAACATCATCCACATAGTCCAACACAAGCATATCAAACTGGTCCGTCAATGCAATCTGGTGGACCGCCTATGTCTCAATCACCTCAACAGCCTCCACCCCAACAGCAGAATTATTCATCACATCCACAACAGATGCAAGCTAATATGGGTCCACAGGTAAGGAACAATATTTGAACATTATGATTTTCAAAAGAAATACATTTTATTGCAGATCTGTTTGCTATAAATTGATATGCAACATTATTGAATAAAAGTGAATATTTTTGCATGTATATGTCATCTATAATATAACATTCATTGCTAAAAAGTCTGTTGAGAGCAAGGAACATGAACTTATTGAAATTAGTACTTATTTTATTTATAATCCATATTATGTAACATGTACTATTCATATTGCACTTAAAGTTAAAATAAATTTGAAGGTTTCTGTTTAACAATTCATTTCAAATTTTTATCAGTAGCTTTCAAGTCAGCAGTTTTAAATAAATCGACTAGTTGATTAGCAATCTGATGATTGCAAGCTGCTATAACTTTTGGTATTAGTAAATTTAATTCTCCACCTAAAATTATATTCATTTAAGATTTTAGTAAATAATAAATATGATTTTTGAAATGTTGAATCATGTAAATCCGATTTATAAGAATCATGTACCAGCAGTGTCTATTACTATTCCTCCTGCTTCTTCTATTATTAGTTTGCCTGCAGCAACATCCCAAGCATCTATACTTTCAACGTGATATGCTTCTATTGCACCCATTGCCACATAACATAATGTCAGAGCAGCAGTACCTAATGATCTTATCCTAAAAATACAGAATTATTTTTAATAACTATTTTAATTATATTTTCAAAACGAAAATAATTTAAGCAATAGCAAAACATTACCCATGAGTTCCTTGAATTAAAGCGTGCATTCTGTTATATATGCTAACTAAATACTTTGGGTCTTTGGCAATCCATGGTTCCATTGCAACTAGTGTTTGTGAGAGATCTACAACATATTTAAATAATGTTTTTGATCTAAAACATGAGAATGTTTTTCTAACTATTTTTCTTTACTTGATTAACTTTTACTGAATTTACTATAGTAACTTAAATGGATTTATTATCTAATATTAAATTATAATTATTTACTAAAGATGTTTAGGGATATAATTACCTGTTATATTTGATGTTTTTATAGGGTGTCCATTTAGAAAAGCTCCTTTTTGTCGCTTCGCAGAAAAAAATTGTCGCATTAAAGGATTGTACACCATTCCAATTTCTATTCTTTTATTTATCAATAATGCTAACGAAATACATGTGTGTGGAAATCGATGAACAAAATTTGTTGTGCCATCTATAGGATCTATAATCCATGTTGGTTCATTGCTCAATTTTGGCAAACAATTCTCTTTAGCAGTTGTTTCCTCACCAATAAATCTAGAAATCCCTTTTTGGATTATTAAGTATCTACCTGATTAAATTTGTAAGTTTTTTAATCTTTTTTTAATGTGCCTACCTATGATTAGGATACATTTTTGACAGTTGTTTTTGTAAGTCGTCTTCTATTTCTCTGTCATATTCTGTGACAAGGTCCCAGTCGATCCCTTTACTTTTAACACTTTTATTTAAATTAATGGCATTTTCGATCACCTAAAATAAACATTTTTGTTACAAAGAAATATGCAAACGATTTTGAAGTAGATTTAGATCAAAGCTATACAGTGCTTTATATTATAGTAAAATAATTTAAAAACTGTTCATGAAATTGATTTATATGTTACACTATTTTTTAATAATTTTATGTTAATACATTTTTTGTATTAAATACATCGGTCCATTTAAATATTTAGTCACAAAAAATTTAATTAGTGTTTGTACTTATTTTGTAAAGAGTAATGTTCGTACATGTCCCGCTTTTAAAACAAGTCCTTCGGCGACCTTGTAGTACTCTTCGATGTCGTACGATTCACTCATATTTTACTAATTACAACTGTGCGTTTAATAATTCTTTACACGAGCGTGAACAAACTAATACTGACACTGCCACGATGCACAGGCTGGTCTATATGACTAGGATGGAAGAAAGAGCGGGGCAGGAACGAATAAGGTGGGGCAAAAATCTGTAATGTCTGATTTAGTAAACGTACATCGTCTTGATGCGAATCTTCAAAGAGGTGAATATGTATAACCTATTCGAGACTAAGATGATCTCCTTTTTTTACTTCAACTTTAAATTAATATCAGTTCTAATCTGTACTTCCTTTCAACATTCTACTGTTATTATCTTATCAGGTTTCGATCATTGATTGGTAATATAGATTCTGTAATACGCACATAGTGCGTCAATGGATTACGCAACAAATAAGTATGTACTATATTATGCATTAAGTGCGTCTTAAATGCGTTGAAAGGACTTTAAAGCACGCTTTTCCTTGCACTTGACGTCATTGAAATGATTGCATTTCATGATGCAGTTTTCCCTTGGTTGTCATCGGAAATTTTCTCCCGGATATTTGGGAAACCTCTTTTTGTTGAGGAATGGAAAAATAAAGTGTAAATTTGGTGGATTTCTCTCTTTATTGAAATTTGAAACATGAATATTTATTTCATAATTTCCATTCATAATTACGGTTGTTGTTATTATAATTCGTTTTTATAAATGAGAGTATTTTTCTTTTCAATCAAGAACATTTAATTCTCAATTTGAAAGTTAGTGCGAAGTTTACGGTACATTTAATATGCAGGATATAACAACGATAAACCTGTACTACTAATAGGAATTAAAATTCGATTTTGTTATTGTTCATTTCTTCGTTCCACACTTTGATCGGCCTCGTGAATAAGTTTGACGATCTCTTTTGCGATTTTTTCGTTGCATGCTCCAATTGCTCTCGGTTTCATGATATCAATCTTCTCTCCTGTAATTCACACATTCACAATGTAAACATCTAATTTTTTCATTCAGACGCTTTGAAGGATTAAAAGATACAATAATAAATAAAATACAGGTACCATATTCAATTTATAAAAGAAAATAATAGTTTAGTCAAATTTTTGATGAATTTATCATGATAATAAAAGCATTAATTGATCATTGTATATAGTCGTGTCTGTTTGCGTAACATTGTTTGAATCATGAGTATGGAATTAGAGTAGTGAAAGAGTATGAATTCCTTACTGGGAATTTCAGGTTCAGAAATTTAAACTTTACTTGAAAGATTACTTAGTTTTAAACATTTGTTTAAAAAATTCATTTGATTTAAATACTATATATTAATTTTTTAATTTTTAGAATCAATAGTGTTTTTCATAACATTAGAAACAATTTTTACTGTATTGAAGAGTTGAACAATTTTGCGAGTATAAAGGTTATAAAATTTCAAGTAGTTGAACTGTTTGAATAATTTGAAAAACTTCGAATATGAATTGCAGACTACATTCGAAAAAAATTGTTCAAATGTCTGATATTAATTTAGATATACAGGGTGCGGCGCCAAAATCCGGACAAATGAACTTTCAAACATAATTTTTTTTTGTGAAAACGGAAATATTTACAACTTTTTTTTTACTACATTGTTAATAAGGCTTAATAATAAAGAACCCTTTTATTCAATATATCCTTCCTCTGCTTGAATGATTGCTTCCAATCTTGCTCTGAAGCGTTTGTAGGCCCGTTTTAGTGCCTCACGGTCCATATCGGCGAATATTGCCTTGATAACGGCTTTCAATGATTCTATGTATGGATGCATGGATTTGTTGGTAACCCTTTCAACAACGTTCCATACATAATAATCTAAAGGATTTAAACCGGGCTATTAGGAGGTCAGAATTCTTGAGCACATTGAACGATGTCGGGTGTTCTGACGGTACGCTCCTTTGAGTCAGTCTTCCTGGATGGTGTCGCAAAACCTTCGTTTAATTTTTCCGACACATATTTCTTCATGACATCGTATACAGTCGATTTCGGGTACCCGACGTAACGAATAATTCCTGTTGCTGTGCGGCCTGCGCGAATGCTTTCGATAACCGCGGCTTTTCGGTTATATTCTGCGCTTGGTTTGGACATTGCGACTATTATGAGGGTTAGACTTTTTAATACATATTTAATGTTATTTGGTTGCCAATCGCGAACTTTGCAATAAGTATATGACGGCGAGAAAATTAAATTAAATTTTATCCGGATTTTGGCGCCGCACCCTGTATACGCTGGGAAACATTGTATAGTTTCATTTAAAAAATTAGCGGCTTAAGAGAGATTTTATTTATTAATTTTTCGTTGACAAAATTTTATATTTGCGAGTTTTCAGATTTAGAAATTTTTGAATTCTAAAATTTTACAATTCTTAAAGATTCAGATTTAGAAATTTAAAATCCTAAAATATATAAATTTGAGAAATTTGGAATTTGGAAATTTTAAAATAATAATTAGGAAATTTGAGAATTAAAAAATTCAGAAATTTGAAAATTGATGGACGTAGGAATTTGGATCTAAAATCTAAATCTCTAAATACCCAAATTTCTGTATTCTTAAATTCCTTAATATCTATGTTCATAAACACTCAAATTTACAAATTTTCAAATTGCTGAATTCTTAAATTGTCAAATATATAATAGCTATAGGCATTTGTCGCCAAAATATTATTCCTTAAGTGCGAACTCCACTCTTCCAACATTTTAAAATTATCTTAAACACTATGTTATATGTTTGTTTTCAATAAAATTGAAGATATTTCAATTCTTAATATTAACTACTAGTACTTGAATTCTTAGTATGCTGACAGTGTACTCTCAACTATAAATTATATTTGAACGCAATCGTGTCTCTAAAATTATTATCAACAAGGACATTTCGTGTACGAATCGATTGAAGTTATGCAAAGTTACCTGTTACGCGATCAACTACAACACCACCTGCTTCGGAGATGATTAATGACGCTGCTGCGATGTCCCAGGTTGAGATTCCGGGCCCCTCGATGTAATAAGCCTCTACGATTCCCATTGCAACATAACACAGTGATAACGCTGCTACACCGAGCGTACGGATTCTATAGAGGATAAATCAAGATAGGAAAATTATACAATTACAGATACAAATGCAGCAATGTTAACAGCTCTTCTTTTTCTACACTTAAATGTGTTTATCCAAAGCTTGATTTAGATTTTTCAGAAAAATGTTCAGAAATCCAACCTTTGTTTTGATTTAAATATCAAATGTTCTATGTTAGTTTACTTGGAAATGTTTGTTCTTTTTACACATGGATTGTTTGTGTTTTATTTTTGGATATTTTGCTCCTCTTAATTTCATAACTTTTTTTAGTTTGTACTTTTTTTTATTATTTTGTTTTTGTACTTTGGCTGGATTGTAATAGTTCATTTTCTGAAATTAATATTTAGGGATTTTTTGTCATTATTAATATATATTTGCAGTCAGATTTATACGATTCAAGACGACAATCTGAAATTTTAATTTTGAGGCGCAATTTAAGTTTAGTTTCAAATTCCAAAAGATTGAGAAGAAATGTATCGAGAGGCAAATTGTTTGAAATAAAAGTATTTTACGGCCCATAAAATATTAATAAGCAAAGTATCATTAAAAATGATGAAAACTTCTGTGTACATCTTACATGTATAAACAAAGTAAATATCATATTTTCTTTAAATAATTTTACAGAGAAGATTTTTATCTCTGTAATATTAATTTTTTATTGAATGAATTTTCAGAATCATGTTTATTCTTTTTAATTGCAGTTAAATCGAAAGAAGTATATATTTATTTCTGCAAATTGCGATTTATATTTCATGAAAAATATAAATATATTTCAATAGAATTTTAACACGGAAAGTAATATTTTTGATATAATTTTTACGTCCATAGATGAATTATTGCTTAATTTAATAGATGTTATCCTACATATGTTTTGTAATAACAAAGTCTAAAGTATGATTCTAGAGTAAAATAAAAATGTTGCATAATAAAAAACAGTAGAAATTCTATTTTTTTTTTTTTTTTTTTAATAATTTAGCTACATACAAGTTTAAAAAAATTAGGTAATAATTATACAGAGTGTTAAAAGAGCATTACGTTCCTTTAATTTCATTTGATGTTCATTATGAGATATAGTGATATTTTTATATATTTTAGTATTAGACCTTTTTTTGCAAATTTTCATTTTTTATCGAGCGATAGAAAAAATGATGTTTCTTAACACCCTACATAAATGGTTTTAAATTTCCTTTATTTAATTATGAATATATCTTTGACATGAATAATCAAAGATTCAATTTTCTGGATAGTACTTACCCCTGTGCTTTTTGAATAATTCGCCGTAATCTTTCAAGTGTTTTTTCCCTGAGTTCATCGACTTTTATGAAACCACTTTCCATACACACTAAAGCTTTTGACAATTCTGTAAAGATACCAAGTTTCCATAAAGTTTTTGTTTTATAATTTATGGTTTACGATTTAAAACTTGATGATTCAAAACTTTATATCCTGATGATTTGATGACGAGATATTGTATGTATACTGGGGTAGACCTTAGCTATAGAGTGGAGAGGTAGCTAATAGCCTCAACTTCTAATTGACTAACTTTCCATTTTTATTTTCTAAATATTATTATTTCGATATAGAGAAGTTTCTCGTTTAAAAATTTGAATAAAAGAAATAATTTTATTAACAAATACTTTTAAAATAATTTTATATTATAATTTTATTTTTGTGAGTCAGTGTAGTATAGTATACTTGTTGTAGGACATGTTTCACATTCTGTATTGATACAAATTAAAAAATGCGCAACACTTACATAAGTTAAAATTAGAAACACCAATTTAAATCTGAAATACTGTTCCATCACGTGAATTCATTCGTTATCGTTTAAAACTCACTAAATGATCTTTATTGTGTGCATTTTATTATCTGTACATAGTATGTACCACGTTGAATTATGAGTGACATTGTGCTTCAGTAAATTCTACAAATCACTCAAAGTAAAGTCAATAATCGTGAATGAGGTCTTCTGCAAATCTCGATTTTTAAGATAGTATATCATTTTAGAAGACAGCACGTAGAAACATTTGTTATCACGCGACAGAAACAAGCCTTGATAAATTTATCATTTTAGTTCAGAATCACAGATTCTGTTTTATTATCTTTGCATGATTAGTATATTGTTTGAATGATTATTATATTGCATGTTGTTAATACTTTACCGATGAATTACTCCATCATTAATATTTGTCTAAACTTGACAAAAATGTTTGCATTTTTAGTTTAACGAGAATCTTTCTAAGTGAACACGAATTAGTATTATTAAGTAAATAATATTATACGCACAAATCTTACGTAAAAAGATATTAAGTTAGAATGTTAATAGAATTAATAGTACGTGAGTTATTTTACATTCGCAGTTTGAAGAATCTTCCGAATTGTTGACTTTTTCATATCGTATTTGAGTACCTTCTTACGCAAACAACCGATTTGTGAAATATTCCAAACTCTTAGACTTCTGTTTACAAAAAAAGTTAAGTACAGCTTAAAATTTCTCAGATATTCTCAAATATGAGACTTGTAATAACTATCTCTCTGATAATACGGTTTTTTGTTTGAAATATTTTTTCGAATATCAAATATGTAACGGTTGATTAAAATATTTGAAATATACTTTTGAACAATTACTTTTCTCGTTTAAATAAGACAATGTTTGTAATGTGAAATATGATTTCGACAAATCAGATATTTTTGTTATAAGAATTTAAAATACAAAATAAACTGTTTTTACTTTCAATTTTACATGATATTCAAAATATTTTTTTACAATAAAAATTTCAGTATGATATTAAAATGCAAGAATTCATAATAGTTTTAAACTGAATTCATTTTTTTCTCAAATGTACTAAGCTGTTCGTTCATAAAGTGTCTCGTTGAAAAACGTTATGACAGAATTTGTTTTCATTCCGGTACTGATAGTGAACAAAACAGTATTGTGTGAATAGAACATCCTATAAAAAGCTGTCAACAGAAGAAGGAATGATTGATACCAACAAGAAAAGTATTGAGTGTAATATTTTCAGAAATAACAGGCATGAAAGAAAAACAAGTCAAATTTTCCAGATACAAGATCAGTCGATATCTTCAATATCGTGCAGATAAAATACTAATTATGTTGTAAATAAATACTGTTTAAATATTATTTAAAAAATTCACAAATTTTGTTTTGAGAAGTCTAATTATATTTATAAGATAAAATAGACAAGTTACTATGTGACTTGTGCTAATTATAACTAATGAAGGAAATGAAGTAAGATCTTATTGACATTGTTAATATAATTGTTGTCTTAAAGTTGTGCGATTTTATAGAACACAGAGAATCAAGTGCTTATAAATACAGAGTAAGTTTCATAACATAACGACTTTAAATAACTCATAAATTGTTTATAACAGGAAGAAATTGTTGAACAAAACTTGCATGATTTGCAAAAGCATAAGTAATTGTTGTATTTGTATTCTTTATTAATATAGGAAGGTAATCTTACCAAGATATGAAGATAATCTCTTTACGATACGATGGTTTTAAATTTCCACTTTTTAAATTTGGATAACGTATGAAATTTTACGTAAAAACGTATAAGAAAGTAAAACAAGAGACTAAAAATTATTACTGAAATATTTTCAATTTTATAATTTTATATTAGAAAAGAGATTTAATAAACGTGACTGTAACCGAGTTTTGTCAATAATAGCAGGTCATATTTCTAAATACAGATTTTGTTAGATTTTAACAAGTTAAGTGTGTTTAACGACTATATCTGTCATGGAGATGTGGCAGAATTTTGTGTCATGACAACTATATCCGTCATGCGTCAAATGTTGTTACAAATTTGATATTTAAATTGTAATTTTGGCGAAAACTAAATTATATTCGTAAATTGTAATATGTTTAAAATGTTTAGAGGTCAACACAAAATGAAATAAACAAATAAAAAGTGTAAATGATTTGAGATGGATTCATAAATTCTTGAAAGCTAACTCGTCATCGCTTGATTATCGCGACACACACTGGTGCGCGCTTTGCAAAAAGATCGTCACAGTTAACTGGTTATACGAGGTGTGACACAAAAGTAACGAGACTAGTCCGATAAATCATTATATCTTCAGAATCAGTTCTCCGTGACATTATCACCTTCAAAGTAGTCCCCTT